TTATTTTTATAGTAATTATTTTTTTTTTAATTTTAAAAAGTTTAATAGTCTTTATATATAAAATTTTAATAATTTTTTATTTTTATTTTTATTTATATATTTTTAGTTTTAATAAGAATAGTTAATAGATATTATTAAAAACTGTTATTAGATATTTATAAGAATGGTTAATAGATACTACTAGAGACTGTTACTAAATACTTATAAAAGTTAAATAGTAAATTAAAAAGTTAAATAATAACTTAAAGAGTTAAATAGTAAATTAAAGAGTTAAGTAATAAATTAAAGAGTTAAATAATAAATTAAAGAGTTAAGAAATAATTTAAGTACTTATAACTAAAATTAACCCTAGCTTTTTAAGCTAATTATATATTATATTAACTAACTTTAAGTATAGAGTTAATATAAATTTTAGCTAATTAGCTATTTAGCTTAATATTAAATAATTAAATATAAAAGCTAAAGTAAGATTATTTATTTTAATAGCCAATTTATAATAAATTATCTATAAATAGTACCTAAAGTTAAGTAGTAAATTAAAGAGTTAAGTAATAAATTAAAGAGTTAAATAGTAAATTAAAAAGTTAAGAAGTAATTTAAGTATTTATAACTAAAATTAACCCTAGCTTTTTAAACTAATTATATATTATACTAACTAACCTTAAGTATAAAGCTAGTATAAATTTTAGCTAATTAGCTACTTAGCCTAGTATTAAATAATTAAGTATAAAAGCTAAAGTAAGATTACTTATTTTAATAGTTAATTTATAATAAATTATCTATAAATAGTATTTAGGCTTATATACTTTAAACTATTAATTTCTTTATTAATACTTAAAAAATTACTAGTATTATATCCTTTTAATTTATAAAACCTATTTTAACTATTTTAATTTCTTTTTAATATTACCTTTTTTTATTTAATTACTTTTTTATTTATATTTTATTTAGTAGTAATAATATATATTACTTTTATATAGATTAATATAACTATATATATAATACCTCTTATAGTTTAATATTAATAGCTTTAAATATAAAATTAATTTATCTAATAGATTAAAAAACTTAAAGTCCTTTAAGTCTATTTAATTTTAAGCTATCTTTATAATTAATATAATAGCTTTATTAATTGCCTTTACCTATATAAATTAAATTATTAAATATTTTATTTTTAAATACTTAAATATCTTATTAGCTATATAGCTAAAATTATAAACTTTATATATAATAAATAGTAAGTTTTATATATAGATAAATAGATCTATTATAGTAACTATTTTAATACTATATTATATTATAGATTAGGCTTATTAAATTAATAGCTACTTACTTTAATTATTTAAGGTTTCTTTTATAATAAATTATTATTATTTTTAATACTTATTTAACTTATATTTACTTTTTTAATAAAGTCTTTACCTTTATCTTACTTTATATTAATTAAACCTTAATTATATAAACTTTATTTTAATAATAAATAAATAATAAACCTAATTTTTATACCTTAATATTTAACTATTATTTTTTAAAACCTAAATAAAATTAAATATAAGTATTTTAATATTATTTTTATAATAATTATTTTTTTTTTTAACTTTAAAAAGTTTAATAATCTTTATATATAAAATTTTAATAATCTCTTATTTTTATCTTTATTAGTATATTTTTAGTTTTAATAAAAATAGTTAATAGATATTACTAGAGACTGTTACTAGATATTTATAAGAAATATATTCAGGAGATAGTCAAGAGACCTGGGTGTCGCTAGAAACACAGTTCTATTAAGAACAACATTGTGGAGAGAATAGGCAGTGGTGCTCAGGGAATGTATTATTTTTATGACTCAATTTGTATTGTTGGATCAGAATGCTGACACTTAAAACAGGTTTAGATGGGCGCATTTGCAGATAGAACTGCTTATCGCTCTCCAATCTCCGGAGGCAGTAGAAGCACGACTCGGAAAGCTCCCACACGGCCTAGCCGAAGCATACGACGAGTTATATGAACGGACTGAATCTTACGACAGGATCTATCTACAAAGAGCTGTGAAATGGGTCTTATACGCGTTTGATCCACTGTCCACAGAGCAACTTCTTTCGGCAGTTCAGCTTCGTTTAGTCGACGGCCATGACGATCCGGTTCTGGATACCAGGAATCGCCGTCTATCGGTAGAAGCGCTCGAAAACATCTGCCGTCATCTCATCGTTCGAGGCGATCGCGACGAATGGGCTTTTTCTCATACATCTGTCCAAGAATATTTCAGAGAAAAGAAGCACCATAGGAAATGGACCAACGAAGACGCTCAGATTGAGGTGGCCATGCTGTCACTCTTGGCACTTATCGACACTGTCCAGTACCTAATTGCCTCAGTGTCTCTCCGTAGTATTGTCAGCCTTTGGCACCCGGATTCCGAAAAAACCTTCGAAGACTACGTCGCACAGTACTGGGTGTCGCACATCAAGTCCTTGCAGTATCTGCCATACGAAATAAGAAAACCCATCTCGAAAGTTCTCAGAAAGTTCATGATCTCCTCCACTGACCCTGGTGACTCTGCCGTCGAGTACCGAACATGGTTGAAATACGTCCGCAAACGGCAACTTTTGATACTGGGCAAAGGCGATTCAAGGGTCTGGGTGGACGACTTGATGCCTACCAAAAACCCAGCATTCGGAATAGTCAGCTTAGGTTTAGACCTGGACGAGGAAAAATGGGCCAAAGATAGCCTCCAGCTTCATCTGGGAGATTTCAATTACTTGGGGCTTGACACTCTCTCCCTAGCTGCGAAATACGGAAGCGTGGGATTCCGTCACCAGCTCATGGATTTAGGCATTAGACTCAACACGGTTTCGCCCATTGGTTCCAGTGCCTTAAACGAAGCAATAAAATCGAGAAACCTTAACTGCGTTGCAGAGTTCTTAGAACGTAACGCCGATCCGAACCTCGACACAAATAGTTGTCCGTTATGCCAGGCGGCCCGGCAGAAATGTCCAGAACTGGTCAGGCTACTACTAAAGTACGGTGCTCTTCCAGACGCTCTTTATCGGGATTGTCTGTTCTAGTGTGCACTAGAATCTGCAATATTTAAAGATAACAAAAGCTCTGCGAAAGTGTTAATCGAGGCAGGAGCAACCGTGGATTTGCACGTTCCCGGCGATTTCGGTACTCCACTTACTTCTGCTGCCTACAGAGGCAGCTTAATCGTCGCCAAGCTTCTTATCAAACATGGCGCAAATGTGAATATCAAGCTAGGGGATAGTAGATATAGTGGTATTTTAGCGGCAGCCTTTTGTAGGCACGATGCTGAAAAGACGCTTCCTTATCTTATCGAAGAGGCTAGAGCGGATCCCTACAGACTTATTAAAGATCTTTCAAATAACACCCTACTTATTTCAGATAAGTTCAGGGATTCAATAGTAAAGTCCGGCTATTACCTCTTCTTCAAGAAGTATCTAGATCCCCATAAGATGCAGGGCTTAGAGGTATTAGAAGGGTCCCCTTTAGAAAAGCTAAAACACCTGGCCGAGTCAATACTTAGATCTCGGGGGAATAGTAAAACTTAACTTGGTTTACTTTTAGCTATAATGTAAGATTACCGTGTCGATAGTTATCTTAGCTTAGTCCCTTGTTATTAATCTAGTCCATATCACCGCCAAATTCTAGTTCCTTTTGCCTTCCTTTGCCTTTCTATTTTTTGTATCTGCATATCTCAAGTATATTCATACCTCCTACGACACCAGTCAATAATGCGCCCAAGGAGAAGGTAAACGAGAACGTACAGCCAGAGCCGACCTGGAACGATCTGATATGACTACAGCCACCACTCGTTCTCCAGGTGCCGCTATAATCACAGCCAAGGCCAGCATAAGTAGTACTCATGCTTCGGCGGCTATAGTAAGCCCCCGACTCGACCTCCTACATCAACTATCCGCCGCCCCGCACGACGTCGACTTTCGCTCGCTTAAAGGTACCCTTTCAATCCCAAGGAAGTATCTTAAGCCACAATGTCGTCCTAATCACACCTTGAAAAATTATCTCCAACTTATCCAGCCGCATCTCAGCCTGGTTCAGCTATTTTATAAGAGGCAGCAAGGACCTGCTAGATGGAGATTGATAAATGAATTAAATTAAGCTAATACGTTAATTTTTATAGGAACTAGAACTAGAAACCATAACCCAGAAGCAAGCGCCTATAGAAATGTATTATTTATGCTAATTCTTTATATAATCTATAGCAAAAGAAAGTATTAGCTTTTTAAGATATATAATTAAAATAAGGGTTAAAACAGTAATATAAAACTACTTAATTCTATTAAATATAAGTATAACTATTTAAAAATATTAAATTTAAGTATATATAATAGTAATAGTCTTTTTATATAATAAAATCTTAACTTTTTTATTAATATAGAACTTTAATATATTTTCTTTAGGTTTTTTAAGGCTATTAAAAATAAAAAAGACCCTTTTATTAATATCTATAAAAAGATTAAGCTTAATATTAATATAAATTTTAAATACTTAATATTAAGCTATTATATTAATAGTATTAATATTATTACTTTCCTTTTTTAATAAAGCTTTTAGCTACTTACTATTATAACTTTTATAGTTATATTATATATACTTTATAAATTTCCTTTAAGTATAAATAATTACCTAAACCTAATAAGAAAGTATAGTAATTAGTGTATAATTATTTAATAATTATTTTTAATTATTAATAATTACTAAAAGGACTAACCTAATTACCTTAAGTATATATATATATTTATTTATTATTAAATAAAACTTAACTTACTAGCTATTAATAATACTTTTTTACTTTAATAAGCCTTATTTATATTATTAATTATTAATAGATATAATATTTATTAATATATTTAATTTAATGCCTTATATATTTTATAAATATAAACTTATTATAAACTAATTTTCTTATTTAAAACCCTAACTATTATATTAAAATAATAAATAAATAAAAAATATATAAATAAAAAATATAAAAATAAAATAAAATAATATTAAAAGCTTAAAAAGAGAAATAAAGAATAATATATATAAATACTTAAATTTAAAGTTAAGATATAAGTAATACTTATTAAAAACTTTTAAAGGCTAAAGGTATATAAATACTTAAATTTAGGTTTAAAAAATAAGTTTTTAAAGTTTTTAAATATAGTATTATATATAAATACTTAAATTTAAATTTAAATAAGTTTATTATATAAAAATAGTAAGTTTATTAATAAGTTTATAAAACTTTAAAGGTCTATAAGTAAAAGACTTTAAATATTTATTACTTATAGCCTTAATTAAGACCTCTTTAATATGTTTTTTTAAATATAATAGAAATCTATTACCTTTATTAATTATATAAGAGGATTAATAAGCTAGAGGTTATAAATACTACTATTATTTAATATAACTTTTTTATATTAAGGACTGCTTATATTATATTAAATTATATACTCTTTATTTATATATTAATTTCTATTACTTTTATAAAATATATCCTTTTTATCTATATATATTAATTAAAATAACTATTACTAATAGCACTTAATACTATTTTTCTAGCCTATATATTATTTTAAAAACTACTTAATTTATATACCTTACCTCTTTTATATAGTATAGTTTAGTATATTAATTCTTTATTACTTAAATAATTATAAAGCAGCTTAATTAATTTAATTTTAATAGATAAAAATATACTATATAATAATTTTATATATAAAGAGATAAATAAATTTAACCTAGCCTAGAATACTAGCGGCTTGCAACTGGCCGTAAAAAGGAAAGTATTTACCTTAAGGAATAAAGAGGAGAAAAGGATCTTGGGACGCCCGGGTTGATTGGTTGATTGATTTAACGATTATGCCCGGTCAGCGGGGTCCGGCAAACAGCTGAAGGTCATCGAATCAGTGAGTGTTAATCCAACTCACCCCACTTCGCCAACGCCAATGACGCTGATCAGCTGTTCCCATATTTCCCGGTTATCTGACCCGCTGCTTCGTGGCTTTGTACCAACAGTCTCTACCCAGTGCCCGAGCACGTACAGCAGGCCTAGCCTTCCCGAATATCTCTTCATTTGGAGTTTGAGAGTGGGTCCGTCTTCGGCTCCCGCTTTTGGCTCCCACTTTCGGCTTCCGGAGAGCGAGCAGTAATACGTATCCTGCAGCGAATTTACTACAGCCCTCAGTGGTCTCAAATGAAAACGGTATACTTAAAAGCAATTCCTTCCTCTTATTGGCAGCTTGATTTTTCTATATATTGCAACTGGATATTAAATAGTAGGTAAAATATAAGAAGATCTATATAGAACTGTTATTAAGTACTTATTTATTAATTATATCCTATAGGAGATATAAGTATTGCAACTTTGCTACAGGTAACGCACTAACATTTAAGACCCTTATAGGATATACCTATCCCAGCACTAAATCAGGGCAAAAGCCCTTCTAAAGCCACCAACAAACCAGCTTGAATTCATATGCTGTTTTGTTCGTATTAGGCTTCACTCTTCATAGCTATCTCTTTCTTTAAGTCCGAATGACACCAAAGGCAACAATTAGATCGGGCACCGAGCCCGGCCCCAGCGACTCGAACAGGAGTCTCGTCTCCTCCGTTCGCTGGCACCTTGCTCATTTTCTTCGGTGTCCGCCGTGCGAGGTGCCAGCGAACGGAGCAGCCGAACCGCTGACTCTCGGGGTGGACCCGGAGTTCGCCGGCTTGGGCTTGGAGGGTGAGCCTCAGCGACCCACCCTTTGGTCCGCGAAATGGTTGCTGAGAAGGAGTTCCGCTGACGCAGATATGGGACCCCCGCGAGTGGTTGCGCCACGGCGCAAGCAGGTCGCTCTCTGGACCTGTGTAAGTGACAATGGAGCAAATGCGACGACCAAGTTAGGTGACATGTTGTTGACTGTTAGATAGTGCGCTTGCGGACAATCAGGGATGTCAATGAGAACTGACCCTTGCAGCTTCTGTGGCACGCCTAGATGTGTCTATTGCCCCGTGGTCAAGGTCAAGTCGAAACCGAGCCTGGGGCCAATTTCGCCAAACTCCCTCTCGAGCGCGGTCGAGGACAATTGTTGTACCGACACCGAGTCCATTGACACCGAGGCAAATATGTTCCAGTGATATCCCGCGCGCGTTCAACGCTGGCCGCTCCAGCCCTCTTCAGAGTGAGGCGACGTCAATTTGACATCGTCTATAATACCTCGTTCATTTTCGCTGACTGATCGAACGATGCTCGACAGTCGTCCACGTCGACAAGAAGGCGGCCAAGGCAGAAGCTAGTGAGGAAGTGTGACCAAATCTCTCACTCATATTTATTGCCTTGGGTTGTGAGTCAGGTTTTGAGGCCCTCAGTACAATGTGCTGTTTGGGTATGCGATGATGCCTGATCGGAGGCAAGTACACGTGACAGAGTGGAATGAATCGGAGAGCCGATTGGTGCATGACTAGCTTGGATAGTCGAAGAGATGTTGAATGATCTATCATATATGACCGATTCTGACTGAATGAAGTTGAAAATCTCACTAGCGACAGCCAGAGGCATCGACCGCCGCTATCTCTTCAAACTGTTGTCAGTAGCTGCCCTCACTAAGTACTCGAGCGCGTGGGGTAGTGACCCATCCATGTCGACATGTCTTTCGACTTTGATCGTCGAGAACCCTGTCTGAAGAATGAAAATGTTCCTTGGATAGAGCAGGCACGCCGGGAAAACGGGGATGACACCCCTTTGCAGCTCTTCTTAGCCATGCCGGGTTATTCTCCTAGGAATAGCTATATGCTCGGTTGCCTAAAGTCTATCGATCTAGATACTGCACTCCAGAAAATACTGGATGGTGACTTTGAGAGCTGCCAGTCTGAACTATGGTTGCACGACGGCGATGGGCACCGGTGTCGCGCCTACAACGGCGTCATGCCTGCTCCGGCAGCCCACCAGAAGCTGCAATTAAAGGTAGGGGGTTCCAACGCGATCTAGCTTCTCTATCCTTTCTTTTTCTCCAAGCCTGATGACTAACGATATCAGCGTTTTGGTCAACCCGGGGAACCTGACGCGTCCATACGACGGTTGTAAGTCCACAGTACCTCGACGTGCGTGCGCTTCCTGCGCTGCGGCCGCCCCAGAACCCGTGCGGGTCGCTAACTTCAGCCTTCCTACCTAGCCACATTCACCACCCGACGACAGAATCCATGGGTCTTCTCATCCTCAACATTGGAGGCCTGGGACGAGACGAGCTGGGGGGTTTCCTTTTCAAGTACATCAAGGCTCACAGCACGCCCGCTTCAATTGGATTCAACGTCGGTGTTAGTATTGTATTTCCCAGTTATCTCAATGACCCGCTCCTGTTCTCGCACATATTTGCTGACTTTGAAGAAAAGACTGGAGGCCGAACCTTTTCCTTTACCTTCCACCTGCCGTCATTCGTCTTGAAGAGACAAAAACCTAGGGCCAGAAGGAGGGAGGACCCCCGCAAGAAGCGCAATGGAAGACCGTGGAGGGAATCCCGCCCCCTCTCCTTCCTTTCAAAACCTATCGAGATCAAGTCTGAATTCGCCAGCGTCGACACACTCCACGAGGTTCACTACTCCCTGATGATATGTGGCTATAATAGATCCGTGTGGACCACGTATTCTCTTGTCGACACCTACTTTTATGACTCCGACGAGGACCACGAAGACACAGTCGAATTTTATAGAACACATGAAGACTCCGAGGTCAGCGAATGGGACCCTGCACTGATCGGAGACAAAGAAGTCTGGACGAAATGTCCAGATCCGCGGGAATACTTTCTCATGATCCTGGATAAACGGTTCACCCAAATCTATGAGGAGTTCTTTAAGATCATTGACTTTGTTCAAGACAAAATGTCGGACTATGTGAGCTTTGTAAGTACCTCTAGCTCAAAACTTCAATAACACCTTTATAGCTCCATGAAAATCGCACAACGCGCAATTGCGCCACAGTTTCGAGGGATTCCGCCAAAAGCCTTTACGAGTCGGCTGAGAACAAGCGAATGTGGCTCAGACAAACGGAGCAGCTCCTTGATCTTCTCTCGGACGGCCTCTCTAGTATTCTGAGATGCTGGAAAGCCTTTGAGATTGAGAGGGAAAACTTCGCGTACAATCGTCCTTCGGCGACGTTGTTTCATGAGATTCAGGGCCAAACTATAGAGATGAATCGTCTTCTGGACAGCCTATCCAAGGCAAAGACAAAATGCGATGGATTTCGCAAAGATGTGAGTACTTATCGGTTATCAATAAGGTCTCCTTGTCGATCGCCTGTGCCCTTATCAACGACTGTTTTTATTTTTTTTTAAAGTATTTCGCCTTTCTCTGAAGTACTCGGCGCGTCGTCAACTTGCTAACATCCTATAGCTGGAGCTTGCTAATGGGGTCCAAGGCGGCCCTGGGAACGTCCTACAGTATCTAAAACTCACATTCGTAAGTCGCGAAACGTATGCCCCACCATGTTGCGTCTCTAACTTGGCCCAACCTAGATCCAGGTCATGACTCCAGTCGTCGTCTCGGCCTCCATCATCCAAGCAGACATTTTGACATTCGGGCCTGTCTTCTTGCGGTTCGTCATGATTACCGCTGTGCTTTTCGGCATATGCTGGTGCATTGAACCGGGCCAGAATCCAATACCTGGCTGGACTGACACCATCAAGAAGCGCCTTAATACCCGCGCAGACGACCAAAACGATGGTGGACCCTTGAATCAACATCTAAGACGAGGATGGGGTTGGAACCAGGCTATGATGGCATCAATTTGGCAACTTGCCCAACCACGCCGCCGACTTTTACGTGAAGTAGCTTGGGCATCGGGCGCTAACTCGGGCTTCGAAGAGGATGTGGAGCTAGGCAATCTTCAGAGCTGACACCCGCACTTTTTGGATGTGGAGTCAACCCTACACCAACAGGTATGCGAGGCTTGCTGTCGACCGTCAATTGGCTGATTTGGTTCTACGAGGACGCACGCAGGCAATGCCGCAGTCTACTCACATGACTACCTGTTGGTACCCAACTGCCTTATACTATCCATATATCTTCGCTAGATTCCACATTCTGCCTACGCCATGATTGCCTTACCGGTCAACGCGTGCGATGCGGCAGCGACTGGCATTTGCTTACGCCAACAGATTCGCGCATCAGACTAACAACGAATTGTTCGCACGTTGAGCTAACATTACCGGTCAAGTCTTAATAGTCCTAGCCTACGCTTCGCTATCAATCATGATAAGCCTCACCATGACGACTGCCGAGTTGGGCTCTCAGCTTGCCACACTTGGGCTGAAGTCAGACGTGCCCGAAATTCCATCTGCTGACATGCTCGCTAAGCCGCTGGATGTGTTCAGGTCCCATCTGGCCGGCCTGATTGCCTCGGCTGTCAACTGCGATGCATCCTCAGCGTACGATGCCATCGCTGACTCATCGATGGGAGACCTCGAGCTCATCGTGCCGAAGCTCAAGCTAAGGGACCCTGGGTCGCCAATGAGCTCAGTCGATGTGAGCCGAAAGGTGTGTATTTAGGATATGCCTCAATGCCAATCACATTCATTAATAAGGGCACCCAGTTACCTCCATCCCCATTCTTTACGGCGCCCTTTGCCGATGGACCACGCATCACATTCTACTTCTCCCCAACGGCGCTCCCAAATCTCCTTCTTCCATACATCCAAGACCGCAAGTCAGCATATGGTCGATGCAGGGCCGAGAGTTTCGACCATGGCGCTTCCGTCCACAGCCCTGGTCGCAAAAAGGTAATTGTCGAATTTTCCTCTCCAAATGTTGGAAGCGAGTTCAACGGTAATCACCTTCGGAGCACTCTGATTGGCTTATTCATCTCAAACATCTACGAGCTTATGGGCTGGGACGTGGTGAAGCTCAACTACCTTGGAGATTGGGGAAAAGAGATCGCATTGTTGGCCATTGGCTTTGGCCGCTTTGGATCCGAGGATATCCTGAAGACTAAGCCGCTTGAGCATATGCTTGAAGTCTACCTCCAGATCAAAGCATTGTTCAAACCCGAGCAGGAAGAGAGCAGGCGGGCCAAGGATCAAGGTAGCAGCACAGCAGACATTGAAGGAAAAGGGCTCTTCGCCGAAAGGGACACTTTCTTCCGGGACTTGGAGTCGCGATCCGAAGCTGCCCTGCACCTATGGTCGCAGTTTAGGGAACTCGGTGTCAGTCATCTTCGTGCCTCTTACCTTCGTATGGGGGTCGAGTTTGACGAGTTCTCGGGTGAATCTCAAGTCAACCCGGAGACGATGAATGCGGTGGAGGCCGCACTGAGGGCTAAAGGCTTGCTTGACCAAAACGATGAAGGTTCGTGGGTCATAGACTTTACCAAGCACTCCGGGAAAGCTGGTAAAGGTCTGGGAGTCCAGGTTCTCCGCAACCATGACGGAACGACAACCTACCTATTGCGCGACATTGGTGCTGCCATCGACCGATACAGCACGTACCATTTCGACAAGATGATCTACGTTGTCTCTTCACGCCAATCGTCTCATTTTCAACAGCTTTCCATTACACTGAAGCTAATGGACCGTGCTGATATTGCTGACAAGATACAGCATGCCAGCTTCGGGGAGCTTCAAGGTCTTCCCGAACATATGAAAGGGCCCTTGTTGCTTGATAACATTTTAGATGAATGCAATTGCTCGTTGGCAATGCCACCTATTTCCAACTCCACTCACGAGCCCAACAAGAAAGGAACTGTAGTTCATGGAGACGCTATGGCCGTCGGCGCCCTTGTCTCGCGGGAGATTGCTGTCAAGAAGCGGTCTCACAGCTACGCACTTCAAGTCGACCACATGGCCCAAGAGGAAGGGGCGGCGCTCAACCTACAACAATTCTATGCAAAGATTATATCGGCTATCTCGGAGCTCCAGACCGAGACCGTCGAAGCAGCTGCTATTAACTCTTCGGTGTTTGAAGATGATGCAATGGCCGAGCTCTTCGGCATTCTCGCCAGATACCCAGAAGTGACAACAGCCGCCTTCAAATCATTGGAGCCCCATACCATCCTGGTCTATCTGTCCCAGCTTGCTTATGCCCTTGACCTCGACGACGATCATGAGGACACACAAAACGACGAGGAAGGAGTGGATGCTGGCGAAAATGAACTGAGCAACTCACCAGAAGAGGATGACCCTGGCGTTCTTCGAGCACGCCTGGAATTATATCGTTCCGTTCAGCAAGTGGTTGAGAATGGAATGCGTTTACTTGGGTTTCCTATTATCAATTAGTGATTAAGTGAAGATGCAAACAGACTGGTTCTATAAAATGTATCTTTAGGAGACTACTTAATAGGTTTTATAAATTTTATAGTATTTCTAATTATAGTTAAAAGGCTTATTATATTACCTATAGTGTACTATATTACACTTTACAGTTAGGGGAAGCTTCTATTGAATTTAAATTGAAAGCCCATCTGCTAAAGAGAGTATATTCTCAACCACCTGTTAGGGTGCTGTTATTAAGGTACTGTAAGGATACAGATACAGCAGGTATCAAATTCCTCCGAAAACTCTGCTGCACGAAGTACACAGCACCTAATGCACTGGCCACCCTGGAGCTTATTAAAGATCCTTGATGGACGTTGCCTCGGTGCTCCACTGGCAACAGGAAACTCGTTCGACTGGCGGCAGGGAAGTTTGTCTGTGACAGCGCAAGCCAAATAAATAGATCTTGAGAGGGGAGAACTCGAATGATAGGGGCGAGTGGTTCTTGAGGAACTCCTTCTTTTCGAATAATACCTTCAACCCATACAAGTACTGAACGAAATCCATCCAGCGACTTGCATATTCGCCCTTGGCAAGTGGCAGCTGTAAATGCATCGTTGAGTCTATACCATACCATCCGGGGGCCAAGCAGAAACTGCCTGCTCGGAAATTTCTGGGTTGTTATGCGGTAATTGGCCAAGAGACCCCTATTAACCGTTGCAGCCTCTTCTACAATAAGCTCAGCCTTTATGCCGGGGGACGAGCTGTTCATTAAACCGTCATACTGTGTGATAATTTCAGCTCCCGTAGACTGGTAAACATATTCCTCTGTCCCCTTCTCTTGCTCATCAATAATATCCTGCACATAGTCGTACGTGGATTTGTTTCACTCGATTCTGCCAGGTATAACATTTACCAAACAAGCTCGCTCAGGATCGGATGTTACCTCAGTCAAACTGTTGAGATAGAAACAAAGACCATTGCAGCACGCAGCCGCGGGGCTATTGATCCTCTTTGACCACGCCATATGTCTGTCTCCACGGCCGGTAAAGAGAATCTCTACTAGAGTCATTATACTGGGACGTGGCCACGATTGCAAGAGGCCGGTAAAGATAGGGTCGTAGCCTGACTTAACCGGAGCCGATGCAAGCTGTCTCCGCATCCAGTATAACTTTTCTTGACCAGAGCGAGTAGGGTTTATTTCCAGCCCCTGTTGCATATGGCACACTGACATGATTCGTACCAAGGTACAAATAGTTTCAATCATCGTTATCAGACAAAATGGTTGGTCTTCGATGTTGGTAGTCGGGTTACACTCTTCAGAACACATATGGCATGTGCAAAATGAACTCAGAGAAACTATGGACTGTGAGAACAGTTGCACTGCTTCTGTGTATGATTTCCCAAGTGCGGTTTCCATCGACCCAACAAGGCTGGTATTTTCATCCATTCCGGAAGAAGACGACGAGAAAAGAGGAAGAATCCCCGCCCATAGCTCGAAGAGGAAATTGGAGGAGCATCCATTCGCACTTCACGCTTCTGTTCCAGAGTAAGAGTGTCATCTTCATCTCGCATAACAGCGTAAAGAATGCGAGAAGCAGATCCGAGACAGATTCCTGTAGTGCGAGACTGGGTAGATAGAGGGCGCTTCATAGGAGTGCCAAAAGTATCAGAGAGGCAAGTCGCCCAATCTACTCTGCCATAGGAAATAACGTCGTCTTCATGATCTGTCGCGTTAGAGAAAATGCTTCGGCCACTAGGAATTATATAATGCTTGCGGACAATCTCGATTGATTGCGCAGGCTCGTCTAGGTATGTGATAACAAGCTGTGCATCGTTTCGTAACTGTCTTTTTGTTCCATGTGGTCTGTAAATGACCGAACCATTTCGGTCCTGGACCTTAACACTGAGGTCAAGAAGTCAATGAGATATAGCAGCCATCCATGCACAATCCGCTCCTCCTGAGAGGAAAAGGCAGTCAAGGTACCCTTTAGATAAGTCGAATATGCCTTTAAGGGCAACTGCAATATGCTCTGGCGACGCGCAGCTACGTATATTACAGCAACCATCTCTGAGGCAGAATCTTGATAGGCCATGTAGGACTAGTCCGAAGTCAGTTGGGCCAAGAAGACCTTCAGATGCCTCCACAAGTGATATCTATTATCGCAATGTTGGCGTTAGGTCAGCTGGTGGGCTATAAAGTAAAAATAGCTCCCTTAAAACCTTTGCAGCAATAACAGTACTATACTGCTCAGTAAGAGAGGCACATATACCGAGGCATGCAAGCCCTTCTGAAGATTCTTGCATACTTCTGATAGTATGCTTCACCCCAAACCCAAACCAGAGAATATTGCTGATAGATGGAAAGGCTTTAGCTGCTTCTAAGACGTCATTTAGGCGACGCTCGCCAACTTCACCTAGTCGGATATTGGTGAAGATAGCCCTAGCAGCGTAGATAGTGAGGGCTTCCACTCCTGCCTTAGAGAGACGTGAGAGGACATCAACACTAAAGCCAACAGTCCCATTCGCCATCGAAATCCAGTCAACCGTGCCTTGCTGCTGGAACCCTACAGCTGAGCCGGGTTGGGCATCTTGAGACAATAGTGGTGCGGATTGGTTTGGTCTTGAGACAGACGGAATAGAAGGCATCGTGTAACAAGCAGCTTCACACGCTTTTGATGATAAGCTAAACTGGGAAGATCAGAAGTTCAAATGGTGGTATGTTAGCGAGGGCGATGCTTGAAGATGACAGGAAACGGCCGCACGAGCGGGGAAAGACGATTGAGGCTGCAAGTTGGGCGAACAATGTAATCAGGCGTCCAATCGCATTTATCAGCAAATGAATAGAGTGCGTCATTCTTAAGGGTGACCAAGAAGTGATTTTAATAGGTTGATTAGTCCAGCCAATAGGTATGTGTAAACTAAGACATATTATACAGACTTGCTAATAAAATTAAGTTTTACCTTAAAAAGCTATTTATAAATAAGTTAGTTTAAGATATTTAGCTATAATAAATTAATAGCTTATAGAATAAAAGAAATAGATTTTAAATATTATAATCCTTATAGTTATATTATATATACTCTATAAATTTTACTATTTAATTAAAGAATTAAATACTAAATACTTATAATATATTAATATATTTAATAATACTATAATAATCTTAGATAAAGTAATTTTTTATTTATAAATTAAATTCCTTAATATAAAGCTATAAAAATAGAAAGTATATAAAAAACTTAATTTTAAATAAAACTATAAGTATTTAACTATCTCTATACTAAATAGCAGGAGTTGTAAAGTGTACTGTGCCTTATCTACACTTTATATAGCCGACCGGACTTAAAACCACTGGCTAAGTAGCTAGGCCATACCGATTAGGCTAGCTACAGACAAAAACTCCACCAATTGCCCTAACTATATATTGAGCTCCCTGATCGACTTCTGTAGAACGCTCACATCATGAACTCGATTCCCGCTCATTTAACCAGCACTCCATCCAGACTGGCAAAGGAAAGCAAGATGTCCGCCCATCAAGCCCCGAGACTCCAGGACTGCAGGCAAGACTTGACAGGCAAAGTTGCTGTTGTCACCGGAGCCAGTAGAGGCATCGGCTATGCAATTGCGCTGAATCTTGCCAAACGTGGTGCGGGAATTCTGATCACATCTACAAGCGCCAACAAGTATATTGATGAACTACGAGACGATGTCAAGTCTGCCTATGCGGAGGTGAACGCTCAGCGTCCGAAAGTTGCCCATGAGATTGTTTCTCTGGAAGATCTCAATGCGCATACCAAGCTAGCCGACGCTGTCAAGAGAGAATTCAGCGGCCAAGTAGACATATATGTCAACAACGCCGGAATAACCGACCGCACGTTCCCTGGCGAGCTCGAGGCCAAAACTCTGGACAAGCTGTTGACTTGCAACATCCGAACACCAGCACTGATCGTAGATGAGCTGGTCAAGAGACGGAATTTCAGAAAAGACAGCAGAATTATCTTCATCAGCAGCGCTGAGAGCGTCAACTGCGAACCTGCTGTTTCCATCTATGCCTCGACCAAGGCAGCCAATGAAGCTATGGCCCGTGCTTATGCCAACGCCTTCGGAGGGAAGAACGCCGCTTTCGACTTTATGAGCGGTACTACGGCTAACAGTGTTCTCACGGGATTGACGGAGACGGGAGGGGTACAACAGTACGGGCCGAAGGTGTGGCAAGAGTTGCAGGATTTCTGGATAGTAAAACAGACTGTACCGCGCTTAGGACAGCCGGAGGACGTGGCAGATGTGGTGGGATTCCTGTGCAGTAGAGAAGGAAGATGGATCACTGGAAGCAAGATCAGTGCCAACGGTGGAAGTATCGCAGTTATCTAATTATTAAGCTATTAGTCTCTAAGAACTCCTTCATTAATTCACGCTTTCTCTAATCGGTGCAGTCTCGTCTTCACCCCATTCAATACATCGTCGCACACAATTTCCGGGTCTCGTTGCACATCAATCGTGACTACATCAACCTCATCCAAGGCAGGTTCTTCCAGGCACTCCATCTGGCTGCGTACCATAGACTCCTTCATATAGTGACCGATGCGTGCCTTGACTCTTGCTCGAAGATGCTCTTCGTCAACCCTTAGGTAGATGAAGCACAATTGGACATCGGGGTCGTGATATGATGCCACTCGAAAGACATCACGATATTTTTCGCCGTAACGAGGAGCAGGTAACGATCACGGCGTTCGACTTTTTTAGTTGCTCGGTGGCTGCATTGCGAAGGTTGATAAGCCAATCCCATCGGTCGGCGTCAGTTAATGGCGTGCCGCTGCGCATTTTGGCTACGTTTTTTGGAGTGTGGAACTGTTTGCTTTATGTGAGCAGCCCCTCTGCGGGAGATGGATAGAGGGTATACATACATCATCTCCTTCGAGATACGGAATTGCAGCTTGTCGAGAAAGGTACGTTGCGACAGTTGACTTTCCACAGCCCGCTGGACCACCGATCACAAAAATTGTCTTTTTGGGGGGCGATTGCACCGCCATGACTAGCTGTTGGATAGTGATAGCAAAGATTGTAGTTCTAAGGGTATCAGTAGTGTAGAAAAACAATAAACACGGACGCTACAGACGAATAAGGCTGTTTGAATGAGGTTACTGATGAGGCCTGTGTTACATGCTAAATTCAATTCAACATTTTCAACTTCACTGAGCCTGATCCTTGACGACTGCCGGCCACCCGCAGCGTCGCAAAGACCATGTTCGTGGTCCAGAACATCAACACAACACGATCGGATATAATTAAGCTCAGCCACTGGCTCAAGTACGCGCTTTGAGCTAAATTGGTTTAGTGCAAGTGGAGGTGGAGACTTACAGGGTCGGCTGAATCGGACATAGTAGAAATGCAGTCATCGGACAGTGGACGGAGTCGGATACCAACAAAGTGAGGGGCCATATCAGCTCTTGAGATGAGTGGTAAATCTGTGGATGCTTTTCTGCACTCTCTTCTTGATCTTTACTGGGGTAGAGACGCTTACACCGAGCTCCAGAGCGGACATGATCAGGTTGACGCACCCTAAAATCGGGGATGGATCGGGGGAAACAGAGGGAAACCCCGGATTCTGCCCGAACTGCCCGATATCTGGACATCATCAGCATGACAATAAAAAGACTTTGTAGAATGTTAATCTTGACCATCGATATCACCATACAGCACTCCCTATTCTCCTCTTCATCCTTATTACCTTCCCTCACACATACGCAATGGTTTCTGAACCACGTCTCAAGATGGCCTTGATCGGCCTTGGCCGTCTCGGCGCCATCCGTGCCCGCATTCTCGCCTTCCAGCAGCCTCGCATTGAACTCGTTGCTGCTTGTGACACAAAGCCTGGTAGCGACAAGTGGGTGGCTGAGAATCTGCCTCCTACCGTCAAGTACTTTGCCGACCCTGAGGATTGTATGAGGAACAGTGGTGCTCAGGCCGTGCTCATTTCCACAGCTACTGCTACGCACGCTCCCCTGATCCTCCTAGGTCTTGACCTCGGTCTAGTAGTTATTCCCTCTGACAGCCTGACTACCTTTCCACTAACATTCGTCTAGCATGTTATGTGCGAGAAGCCCATTTCTGTTGACGTTATCACTACGGAGGAGGTCCTCACAAAGGCGAAGTCGAAGCCTGAGCTCAAGTTCCTCATTCCTTTCTGCCGAAGATGTGAGTTGTTCCCATTTTTTCGTTTCCAATCTTATGATGCGTTACTAACTTGCAACCAGATGACGACTCCTATCGTTCTGCCAAGGAGCTGGTAGAAAGCGGCGCACTAGGCGACATTCACGCCGTCGAGACCAACTGCCTCGATCAACAAGACCCTACTGGATTTTTTGTCACATTCTCCGCTCAGTCCGGAGGTATCTTTGTCGACATGGGTGTTCACGATGTAAGTCATTTTCAACTCTTTGACTTCGAACATTTGCTAACAGTGACATACAGATCGATATCGGCCGATACTACCTCGACGTTAAGTCCGGTCTCACCAACCCCAAGAAGCAAGTCAACCGCGTCGTCGCCATGGGACAACAGGCTGTCTACGGCAAGCTCGCCGAGTACGGTGACTGCGACAACGGCTGGGCTCTAGTAGAGTTTGCCAACGGCAAGGTTCTCACCTCCCACTTGGGCCGTACTCTGACAAACGGTTTCGAGAGTACCACTCGCGTGTGTGGTACAAAGGCGCACTCTGTTATCAATGGCAACTCGACGATCAACCGTGTCGAGGTTCGCGATGCTCACGGTGTACGAACAGCTACTACACCCGATGCCTTTGTGCTTTACGACAAGTCCTTTCTGAACGATCTTGCGGAGTTTGCTACTGCTGTTCTCGACAATAAGCCTCTTACTTGCACACCAGATGATGCATACGAGGCTGCCAAGATCGCCACGGCTTTGCAGTACTCGTTCCGAAGTGGTGTCCCTGTATACTTTGATGATGAGGGTAGACCTGTCTTGGACACTCCCAAAGTGAACGGTGCAGCATAATTACGACGGTTTGAGAAGCCACTCAATATGGCCCATTGTGTGTTCTATCAAAAGCAGAATTATGAGTTCAATGAATAGATTTTACGCGTTAATCAAGACTTTATCTAGTCTATGGTTGCTCCCGTGACTGAGGTGCATTGGGGATGTCGTCCCACCACGTATTCATCAAAGACTAAACAACCCGTTAGCGACCACAAGCACTAATCACAGTAAAAGCTCTCTTACAGTCTGTTGGTCTTGAGAAGGTCCGAAGACATCTTGTAAAAGTACAGGATCCCAAAAGTCATGTAACTGTACAACATATTAGCTCAAAACATCCAAGTCCGAGAAGGTATATCCTACCAGGTCATTTGTCGAGTCCATATTTATTGCAGGCATCGATGGGTTAATATTTGGTATATCGGAAGCTCCCATCTGTATTTGAGGGTGAAAACTGTTCAGAGACGAATTTGCTACGTTCATAGTCGGTGAAACAGTTGGCGTCTCGGAAAGACGAATGGTCCTGATGGTTTTCTGCTGGTTCTGACCCGCACGCTCGATAAGCCTGGTACGCCAACCGAGCAGCTCAACATCTTCATCATCTTCTCTATCTTCATTATTATTCTGTCTTTCTTCATCACCTATGTTGCCTCTATTGGAAGTAGATACTGAAGAGATCTTGGCTAAAGCTCTTGTGCGCAAGTTCAAGAGCCACTGTAGATTGCTCTTATACCGCGGAGTTTGTGCACCATGTTGAAGTAGTGATGTGAACAAGCTAATGGCAGCATCGATCTGCGTTAGGGCAAACTTGGTCATGATATTGCCTGGATCACGCAGGACTAGCGTGCCCAAACACAATGCCGAACCAAAGACATGATACTGTAGCGGGTGTAAGCATTGAAAACGGAATCAAAGACGAAGATTATTATTACCCAGAAGTTCCACTGCCTGGTGGCGACGGTCGGGAAGCGGTTGTGTATATCAGTGACAATACTGATAATTATCTGCTCGCTATCAGCTCATTGTCCTTAAGTGATACTCGACGGTTGTTCATACACCACAGCGTTCAACTACAGTATAGAACGAAGCTTTATATATAGATTCGGAATGATCAGCATCGTAGAGCGCTCTCGCATAATAAGGTCGATGGAGGTTGATGATAGTCTCTGAAACATTTAGGGCAAGATTTGTTTGCTACTTAACGTTAGCTTTTAAAATATTCTATAGCAAGGGGGTACTGACTTGGAAAGAAATGGTCAGTGCCATGCGAGATGGCTCTGGAGATGCTTCAATTGCAGCTTCGAGTTGAGCATAACGAGACGGTGTGGCCAGTAACGCTGCTCGACAGCGAAGTGAAAACGGAATACTCTGTTCAAATTCGGAGCTATAGCTGGTTAGCTTTTGTATGCAAGTTATGATTTAGTGCACGTACAGCCTGAAGCCCAGATCTGTAACGTCAGAATATGCTGGCTTCCGTACTTTCATGGCCATGTTGAGAATTCTAGAGTTCCATAAGCTTCGATCTCATTTCGGATTTGAACCAATAGGCAAACTCACTGTGATGAAAGTTGAGACAACTCAAATCGGATGATAGAGTAGCTTTTCTCTCCGTTAGGCCTGGGTGGTTCTGAGGGAAACGCAGTATCGCAATGCTCCGGGTTGATTGCGGATCTATATATAGCGTCAGTCCTTCGGAACTGATCGTGGCATGTGTGAGAACGATGGACTTACGGCCTTGAGAAGCAGTGTGCTTGAAAGATATCGGCACAATTGCATTCCCAGAATACTTTTCGTCGCTCCTCAACTACATCCTGCGGCAGATTCCAGCGATCACCGTCACGGTGCATACCCATCTATGTAATTTTTTCAGTCTTAGCTTGTACCTGTAGGTCGGTGATTTTTCTTACAGCTTGTATAAGGCGCATTACCAGACCCCATAACGGCCACGCACTATCACCGCGTCTGCCTTCATCAAGATGCCTGCCGAATCATTAGCGCTGCAATAATTCAGCAGGTTCATTGCGCACAATTGAAGATGAGCCATCAAATGCTGTGACATTAGCCATTGAACAAATTTGATTCATAGATATATTGGAACTCACAAGAGTTTGCAGTCCAGCCAGGGTATTGTTCGACAAAAATTCACCCTTCACCAACGCTCGCTCTGAGAGCCTTAGCCACTCTTCAGCAGACGAATCGCAATTGGGCATCTCAATATTAAACATGGTGCCTTGAGCCATTATGATGAAAACGAGCGCTATTTCCTGAGCATTTACATGCGGGGATGTAGAATCGCTTTCCGTACGCTTGAAGACTCTGTTGAAGGTCTTTTCGAAGGCGGGCTTAGGAGCAACGTCGTGACTGGGTTCTGTGAGCAGTTTACCAGAAACGGACGCAAGTTGTCGACACTCACTGCCAGGCACAATAGCGGTAATATGACTCCACTAGTGTCCACGCCTCATCCCGTGAGGGGAGACATGCTAATAACTCCCGAGTACTGATATGAGCTGCTGATGCGAGAAAGGGAAACCCACCGGGGGCGGTACCCGGACGTAGGACGTTGGGTTGTGAGGGAACTGAGTTTCCAGGTAGCACCGGTGAAGGGGCGCGTGTCTGCAAGGGAGTATCTGATACATCTTGCATTTCCGACTAACATGGTCAGCTCGATCATTAGAAACGAACACGCAGGTAAATTACCTCTTTCAGCCATTCACTTCCTGCTGTTGGACCCAGATACTTAGACCTGCCTCTTTTTCCCAGCATCAAAGTACCAAAAGAACCATTTTGGCTGTCGTCGTCAATAGACAGTCGAGCCGGGTTGCTGGAAGCGCTGGTTCCGGTGTTGATGCTATACGATGATTCCTCCATCCTGGCTGACCGTGAGGAGCCTGGGGTTTGAGGGGATGGACCCTGAACCGTATATGGTTCGAAGGCACGGGCAAGAAGTGTTAGAGGATTGACTTGAGTGCGGTCGGTGAGGTTAGAGTGCGGAGGAATATGATGTGAGTGGTTCGCGGGCTGTTGGCTCGAATCGAACGGCTGAGGGTTTTCATGATGAGTTGTACTATTTTCGAGAGGTTGCCGAACTCTTTGTTGTTGCACCTGGGGAACAGAGTGGTCTTGGAGTTTGGACTGCTGGTTTAGATGTGAAGATGTGGCGCTGAAAGCATCTTGACTCTGGTCATGTCGGGCATCCTTCTGATGTTCAGGCTGCCCACTGGAGTTTCGACTACTAGCATGGACTTCAGCTCACGAAGCCTACGGGACTCAGCATCAACTAACTTCGAGTTTTCGGCGGCGACACAGAATTCAACGCGTTGTCGGCGAACGCAATTAGAGCATGGCACTGTAACACTATTCCAGCTCATGGACTATGGCACTAAGGCAATGTTGATCTAGTTACCTTGTCGATCGCATTTCATCTTTAGTCTGCGACATTCTAAGTTTCACCCGAGTTAGCCAACCAGCCATCAAACTAATCGCTCTTCCTCTCTTCCTGGTCTTGTGCCGGAGAGAGGTAGAGGAGGACGAAACAAAGGGATTCAGCCGACTCACCTGCGCAGCTGAAGCACGGGCGCTGTTTGCGCTGCTTCCGGGCTCTGAAACCGTCAACGGGCCTATCTTCTTCGTCATCGCGTAGGCGTCGCATGTTGTATCCGATAAGATCGCCTGATATCTAATTTGTCCGGTCCTGTTCGGTTGTCGCCGCGTATGAGACCTGACGAGCAAAAACACGGATCGGAGATGTTGATAATGCGCGGGGAAAAACAAACTCGCGGGGGAGAGGTCAATCCGGCAATGATCTCCGGAACTGCGGATGAACCAATCAGATGAGTGGTCGGCTAGTGGCCATTTTTTCCCCTTTTAGATTATGTCCGATAGGTAATTGGACCGCGGCACTAAACTTCACTATCGGATTTGACGAGATTTGCGCAAATCGAGTGCCATCAAAGTACTCAATCGAGCAAAAGAACAATACAATGTCGAAATATATCATAAACGCGTTCTCTTCGCAGATTCAATCTACTTTCGCTCATCCATCACCATCTCATTCGTTCACATAGCAGCCATGGCACCTTACATCAACGCCCACGAGTCTGTCTCAGAGACCAACATCGATGTCTCCAACCTCAAGGAGAAGGTTGGCATCGACAAGGTCAAGCTTGAGGCTACCGCTAAGCCTCCGGTCGCTGATGACTACATGTACGACTTCAAGTACAACCATGCGCTCCCAACTACCGACGTCCTCGGAATTGAGATTCCTGCCGACACAGATGCGCAAAAGGAAGCTCAAGGCATTGTTGACAACCTGTCTGACGCACTAGCTAAGGGTGATGCTCAGGCCTTTACTGACCTCTTCCTCGACTATGGTAAGTTACTCCCTGCTGGTCAAGCGTTGTCTTGAAATGACAAGCTAACCCAAGATTGAAGGTGTCTGGCGAGATAAGCTGTCCTTCACTTGGGACTACCGAACCTTCAACTTCAGGCCTGCCATTCTAAAGGCCGCCACCGACCTCTTCCCCACAACCAGAGCCACCAACTTCAAGTTCCTCACACCCGCCCCCAAGATCGACCGTCCATACCCTGACTATACCCAGCTTCAGTTCATCGTGTCTTTCGAGACCGAGATCGTGAACGCTTCGGCCGTTACCAACGCCGTTCTCACCAAGGGTGGCTGGAAGATCTACACTTTCCACACAGTTGCTGAGAAGCTCAAGCAATTCCCTGAGGTCCAACCTGCTGATGGCCACATGACTGGTGATATCAGCTGGGAGAAGCAGAGGGCTCGGGATGTTGACTCTATCGAGCCTGAGGTCCTGATCGTCGGTGGTGGTCAGAACGGTTTGGCCCTTGCTGCCCGGCTCAACGCCCTCGGAATGAAGAACCTCATCATTGACCACAGCGAAGAGATTGGCGATGTCTGGAAGAAGCGATACGAGTACCTTTCTCTTCACTTCCCTCACTGGGCCGATGACCTGCCCTACTTCCCCTACCCCAAGCACTGGCCTACCTACACTCCCTCTCAGAAGCAGGGCATCTACATGCAATGGTACGCCTCTGCGCTTGAGCTGAATGTCTGGACCAAGTCTTCAGTCGCCAAGGCTGAGCAAGATGACCAGGGCAGCTGGACAGTTGTGATTGACAAGGAGGGCAAGGAAGCTCGTACAATCCACCCCAAGCAGGTTGTTATGGCTACTTCTCTGTGCGGAACTCCCATGCTTCCTGCTGTTCCTGGCATGTCCGACTTTAAGGGCACTATTCGTCACTCGACTGCTCACGACAGCTCTCGTGACTTTGTCGGCAAGAAGGTTTGCGTCGTCGGCACCTCATCGTCTGGCTTCGACACTGCCTACGACTGTGCTCGTCGCGGTATCGATGTCACTCTTCTTCAGCGATCTCCCACCTACGTCATGTCTTTGACTCACTCCGTTCCTCGTGTCATTGGCAATTACGGTCCTGACTCCGAGCAAAACCGACCCAGTTTGGAGGAGCAGGATCGTCTGTTCTTCGCTACTCCTACCGGTCCTGGTGAGGAACTCTCTAGACGTAACGCCAAGGTTCTTGAGGACCTCGACCGTCCTTTGCTAGAGGCTCTTAACGCCAAAGGCCTGCGAACATGGCGTGGCCAGCGCGGTACCGGTGGTGCTACTCTGGGTCAAACCCGTAATGGTGGCTTCTACTTTGATGCTGGTGCTTGCGAGCACATCATCAATGGTAACATTAAGGTTGAGGCCGGATTCGTTGAGAAGTTCACCGAGGACAAGACCATCCTCAGCGGTGGTCGTGAGCGCGAGTTCGACCTGATTGTGTTCGCCACTGGCTTCACAAATACAATTGACTCCATTCGCTCCACCCTAGGTGAGAATATCGCCGATAACGTCACCCCCATCTGGGGTATTGATGATGAGGGCGAGTTCAAGACTGCTTACAGAGAGACTGGCGTTCCTAACCTCTGGCTCATGGTTGGATACCTTCCTTACACTCGATTCCATTCCAAGTTACTTGCGATGAGGCTGAAGGCTATCAAGGAGGGCATTTCTCCAGCTCCTTACAAAGCATAGATTGTTGTCGCACTATAAATATAGAAGCATTTAGTTAAAAACGATGATGATGAGAAGAAGACACGAATGGATTTTTATTGCTATGCAATAGCTCTTATACTTGCCCTTATGTTGTGATGCGTGATTTATAGTCTCTGTACTTTTTTTTGGAGGAACAAGTTGAAGGCAGCTAACGAGGCTATCGACAAGTAGACCTTGGCACTTAAATCCAGCCTAGCCTGGTGTTGTAGCGTTACTGGCAACAGGCTTGCACGTGTCGTTTCACGTGCCTTGTCAGGTTAGTCTTTTCGTTCGAGATGTGCGGTGTTACCCTACACACAGATGCTCGTTTGTTTACACCACCAATTATTAGGTTTATAAGATCGTTAAAGTGTTGTTTATATGTCAGTAGCAAGTCTTAGAGTGCTCAACGTAGTCTTGTTTTTCTTCTCGAAATTTTTAATAGTTTTATGCTCTGTTTTGGTAAAAGCAGTGAGTTTCTATCATGAGATCTAGTTCAATAATCTATTCACTGTATTTTTTGGCTTAGTCAGCATCACGAGACTCTATGATTGGTCAGGCACAGCCTCTTATTTCTACCCCGTCAACCACAGCTATGACGTCAAACATGTCTCATCGTTTCAGCTAAGGGACAGGGGGATTTTTGCTCCGCATTTTTGCCCTGTATTCCGCTATTGAGGAACCTTCCATAAACGGACAGTGACTTTTGAAGAGACAAATATATGGAAAAACGTCATGACTCTTATCGCTAGTGCACCTAAATTCCCTTTAATAACCCAATTTAGTTCACAAATACAAAGTTGTACATCGTTCATTCGAATTATCCTTTTATTTAATTTTTGTCTTCCCCCCATCTCGGTTTTATTCCGCTTACTCCGACTTAGGGCCATACCAATCGTCAAATCCGAGATCAAAGCCCCATAGAGGAGTGTTGATACGCTTCGCCTTACCATTGGCAGCCAAGCTGTCAAGGACTGACATGTCCTTTTGAGAGAGCGAGATAACTTCCTTGTTAGAGGAGATGCGCTTCTCAGTTACGGACTTGGGCAGGACCACAGTGCCCTTATTAACGTGGTAGCTGATGAGGATTGTAGCAGCTGAGACATTGTTCTTGTCAGCAATCTTCTGAATCTCGGGATCGGACATGATGGGAGCACCTGTGAGTTCAATTGGTTAGCTTTTGTCTACGTCACACTAGGCCTGGCCTGCGATCGGAGGACTTACCAGTTGAGCCAAGAGGTGAGTAAGCCTCGAGGAGAATACCCTGCTTCTCGCAGTACACCTTCAATTGGTGCTGAGGAAGGAAGGGATGTAGCTCGACCTGGTTAATAGCGGGAACAACTGTCCACTTCTTGCGAAGCTCCTCGAGGTAAGGAATGGACCAATTGGCGACACCAATGGCCTTGACCTTGCCAGACTTGTAGACTTCCTCCATTTGTCGCCAGGTCTCGCTCTGGTCCCAAGATCGGTCGACGGATCGGGTGCCATCGGGGTTTACGGGGAGAAGTTCGCTTGACTCGTTCTGTAGATGTGGTTAGAGATATGCTTCGAGCGGTCTTAGAGCTTGGGGTGTACTCACAGGAACCAGGCGAACAGGCCAGTGGATTAGCTGTCGGGAGGAGTGTTAACGTGTTTTCTGACGCAGTGCTACACGATGACGTACGTAGAGATCAAGGTATTCCACATCCAGAGCATCGAGAGTCTTCTGTAGTCCCTCGGCGACGTTGGGGTGGTGGGTGTTCCAGAGCTTGCTGGTCAGGAAGATCTCTTCACGAGGGACTCTGCTGTCCTTAATGCCCAGGCCGACTTCAGTCTCGTTTCCTGGGAGTATTGTTAGATCGAGTGTCGTCGTGAAGATCATGGTGGATCGAATCACCGTAGATACTACGTTTATTAGTCTGGTGAACCAATTTTGCTGGAAGTACAGTCGAGTTGGACTTACAGAGCCGCGTCAATATGACGGTACCCATCCTTGAGGGCGTAAGCGACAGCCTTGCGAACCTCACCGGGCTTAGACTGCCAGGTTCCTATCGAAACACATCAGCATTAAGATTCCAATTGATCAATTTCGTACATTTACTCACCGAGACCGACAGCGGGAATCTTTGCGCCTGTGTTGAGCGTGAAATGCGTTGAGGGAGCCATTGTATTCAGGAAGTGGTTGGATCTTTGATGCATCAATCTGAACTTGGGGGATAAGAAGGTAGTGATAAGAGTTTGAATCCCTAAGAGCTTGTAAATCATTTGTTTGATCAAAGAGAAGTTGCTGCTTTAGCTTTAAAAGACATGGGTCATTATTTTTGAGTAGGGCCTATGTCATCGGACATGTATCGGAGGAACGCTTCCTAGGCCTGTCGGGGATTTTCTTGTGTTTGAATCAGCCGATCTCCACATAACTATCTCCGGTGTGGAACCGGACATGGCGTAGCCTCCGTGACCAGTCAGTTCCATTACTCTAGAACTGGAGTCGAAATAAACAAGATTTGGTTTTAAGATGGAGTTAAAGATGGGGTAATCGGAGCGAGGAATATCGTGGGGGAGTTTTCTTTAGTAGATTGATCCGCAATCGGACATTCATAGTAAGTGATCCTAAATCATGCCCCAAATTGCTTTCTCCCAGACAAACAAGCCACCTTAATCCGATCTGCAATCCTTTCAATCAGCTCTGATTTACTAAATCATCAACTCTATTCATTACCACCGCCATGAAGCCATCGCTTCTGCTGTCTGGCGACCGGGCCAACTTTACTATACTGGCTGTAGACCTCGAGAAGGGAGAGATCAAAGTTATCGCTGATTACCCAGCACCAGAAAATGTTTCTTGGGTAGAACTAGAATCTTCTAATGGAGCTATTGACCGAATGATTGCCTTGTCAGAGGGCGAAGAGTCCGGCCTTCTTTTCACTTTTGAGATTGACCACTCAAAAAAGACTTGCAACATCACTAGCCAACAGCCGACACTGGGCGCACCCGCTCACTGTGAGTAGACATATTGTGTTCTGTAGTTCTAGATGCTAACCCTTCAGTCATCACGCTAAAAGACAAGACCGCTCTGGCACTTGGTACTGTAAGTAATTACAGACTATCACCCAGCGACACCCCGCTTACAGTGGTAGTATCTTGGAGGCTCTGCTGCCCTTTACCCAATTTCCATCACTGAAAGCAAAGGACTTAGACTCAAAGAAACACCTCGAACTGAGATCCTGCCAGAGTTTCCCTACAAAACGGCTGGACACGGCCCTAATAAGGATCGACAACAACAATGCCATGTGCACCAAGTGCTTGAAGATAAAAAAGGACTTCTGTATGCGCCTGATCTAGGCGCTGATCGCGTGTGGGTTTTCGCTCGCCAAGGAACGGAGCTGGAAGTAAGAGGCTGGCTCCAGTGCCCACCTGGGTCGGGTGCTCGGCATGCTGTCTTGACACCTGATGGTATGTTGACAAGCTCTCCCCTACCTCCCACGCTTGAAACGATCTATTAACATATGCACCTACAGAAAAACTCATATATGTCATTGGCGAGCTTTCACACGACATCGTTGCCTTTGATCTCTCTATTCCACCAGGTAAAGACGTACAGCCTATCAACGGCTTTGAGGTCAACGTCATTCCTCCTAATGTTCATCCCGACCATCAATTCATGATGGACTCAGCCGAACTCTCCTTACATCCCAAGATTCCCAATATTTTATACGTCAGCAACAGATGGGAAAAGCACATCGCCGAGCGCGCGCCTCATTTACAAAACGTCCATGAACAACCTCAAGGCGATACTATCGCTATCATCCTGCTTTCAGAAGACGGCAAGAAATTTCAGGAGATCAAGCACATACGAACAAATCTCGACACAATACGCGGTTTCAGACTTAGCGGTGATGGCAAATTTGCCGTGGTGGCTGGTCAGGAAGGAGGTGGAGTCGAGATATATAGTATAAGTGGCGATAGAGGTGACGTGTGGACTCTCATTGCAAGCTTGAATGAGGGATTAGACAGCGGTATTAAACACGCGGTCTGGCTGTAGGTACTGAGGAATTACTGACTAGGTAGTATATTTATTATATTTAAATTATTATATTATAAACCTTTAAACCTTTTATATTTAAAACTTATAATTCTTGTTAGACTTTTAGTTAATTTTTATTCTTAATAATATAAATATTACTTTATAAATTATTTTTTAATTTATTATTAACTTATTAAGTTTTTAATTTTTTAAATAATATTATAACTTTATTAATAGTATTATAAATATATAATTTTATAATATTTATTTCTTAAATATATAAAGTTTTAAGTATATTTATTTTTATAAACTTTTATATTAATTAAAAGCTAAATTTAATAAATAATTTACTTAAATAACTTTAAAAAAGTTTATAAGATATATAAAGTAAAATATCTATTTTATTTAATAAATATTTTTAATTTATAGTATTAATAAGGCTAAAAGTTAATTACTTTTACTAATTTAAACTTAAGCTATTTAATATTAAAAGAATAAATTAATTTAAATAATAATTTTACTTAAAGATAATATAATCTTATTAGCTAAAGCTTGTCTCTAATAGATAATGCATTTATTACTTAAGAGACTTAAACTGGGTATTTAGCTAGGTACTATATACATTTTATATCCTACTGGCCATTAGAAGACCTAGTCTCTAGGTACATTGCGATGGCCAAGCCATACCCATAAAAACTCTGTCATGCGTCTCTAGTGGGCCCGCGATCCGAGCTCGTTCTCTTCATCCTCAAGACTGTCGCCGAAAGCGCCAGCTATCTGCTCCAGACTCTTGCCCGCAGTCTCAGGTACGAAGAAGAACGAGAAAATAGAGGCAGCAAAACAGAAGCAACCAAAGAAAAGGTAAGTACCCCATCCAAGCTTAAGCTGCATCTCAGGAACAATAACACCAATAATAAAATTAGCCAACCAAACCATAGCTGTGGCAGCACCTACACCTTTTGCTCGTTTAGAGCTGGGGAAGACCTCTGCGGGGAGAGTCCACGCCAGGGGACCGTAAGATGAGGCATATGCAAGAACGTAAATATCTGGAAAAGGTTAGAAGAAACCACAATAATTACGGAAGCGGATATGCTTACAGATGAGAGCCACGCCAAACCAGCCCATGCCAGGGTTCTCAACCCACTTGCCGTTGTACTTGCTCACAATACCAGCCATGATTATGTGAGGGATACCCATAGCAATGCCTCCGAAAATGGAAAGTTTGCGACGTCCAATCTTATCAAGGAAGAGAAAAGTGGGAATACCGGCAACGAACTGGCAGATATTGACCATACCGCTAAGAATAAGGGACATCTCGTAGTCCTGGCCGAGTGCAGCAAAGAAAATGGGTGCGTAGTAGACGAAAGCGTTGATACCCGAGAACTGTTGGAAGAAAGGGATGGCGAGTGCCACAGTGGTGCGTCGGATGTACTTGGGCTTGAAAAGGTCACCCCACTGCTGGAACTCGAGGACGACAGGGTTCTTATTGGCGCCGTGATCCCGGTTCAGCAGCATCTCATGAACCTCAGCTTCGCGGACAATGCCCTTCCATTCTGCTTGGATACGAGCGTCAGTTCCAGGCAAACGGCGAAGCTTCTGGAGCGAATGCAGGGCATCTTCATTACGATGACGCATAGCAAGCCATCTGGGTGAGAATGGGAAAAACTGAATGCCGATGCCAACCATCAAAGCGGGGACCATCTGCAAAAGGAAAGGGAGTCTGAAAGCCCAGTCATTAGAGATGTCACGGCAGCCATAAGTGATCCAGTAGGCGATAATGGCGCCTATGACGATAGAGATGGCCTCGAGGACAAGTAGAGAACCTCGCAGGTTGGGAGGTGCGATCTCAGAGATATACAAGGGAGCGCCCATGGCAAGGGTACCAACACCGACGCCACCAATAGTGCGTCCAGCTACAAGAGTGCCATAGTTGTGTGCAGCAGTCTGGATAATAGCACCAACGCAGAAGAACGCTGTAGCTACAGCAAGGCCATACTTGCGGGAATATCGGTCGGCAAGAAGAGGGAAGAACAGGCAGCCGGCAAAGGCGCCGAATTCAAGCATTCCAGTCATAAAACCGGTGTTGAAACCATAGCGAGCATGGCCCGGCGAGATCTCAGGAAAGGTATCCTGAAACTGGGGCATTGTAAGGATGATGGAGATGACACCCTGATCGTAACCGAAGGAGAAGCCACCAAAGGAGGCTAGGAGGGCGGCACCAAACACATAGGGCGATCGAATAATACCAGCGAGACCGTTGTTGTCATAACTGATCTCGGTGTTGGCGATGCCATCTTCTAGGTGTTCAGGCCCATCAGACACGGTGGCCTTGTCATGGCTTTCATTGCCAATGTGAGCGAGACTTTTGTCATCCGCCATATTGACCATTGTCTAGTAGAAAGACCAAAAGATGAGACAAAAAATATTCCCTGATGAAGAGTGGAATGAGATGTGGATGGAGATGGATGAGGATGAGGGTGAGACAGAAAAAAGAAGGGGGTTAAAGCTGGGGTTGTCCGAGGCTTATCTATGCCCCCGAGATCGATAGAATCGCTAAAACACAATGACACATGCGCCCCAGATACGTCCCCCATGGGGAACAAGATTTGAGGCTGTTAGTCTAGACTGGGGAAATTGGAGTTGCCCAGATCGGACATAATCAAGTCTAGACCGCACCTGTGTCGGACTTGCCAAGTGTCAGAGCGTCGGAGATAATCGCGCGAAGCTAGTGATACAACAGTAAGGCAATTTATCAAAATGTCTGCCCTCCTTGTCAATCTTGGCCTGGCCCGCTCGTCCGTCCAGTTGGCCGAAGTCAAGACTCTAACGCGTAATCACATCACCCAAGCGTGGTATACAGCTTTTTAGATTAGGCCACGAAAGTAGAGTAACAGTCGTTACGGCTCTGCCTAAGGATGCTGGAACTATGGCGACGACAAGTAAACTACAGAGATTCGTAAAGTTTATTTTTCAATCAGGACTAAGATAATGGACGTGCAAATATGTCCGGCTGAAGCGAGCTAGAACACTTAGTCAACCCGTTGGTAAACGTCTAAGTGCGTGATTCCAAAATCTCAGGGCGACATTCACCCCGACCCTCAGTCAGTATCCCTGGCTATGCGGGGAAACGATTTACCTAGTTTCTCCAACTTTCGGTTTGTCATTGTGGAGTTACCTTAATGAGTGTTTATTCTCATGGATAGGGTATCAATCGGATCACATATCGACTTATTCTTCTGCAATCTTTGTGTAATCATATCAAGGCAGTAATGCCGTCACGCCAACTTCTGAAGTGCTTGAAGAAATTGAACAGCCTAGTCGTGACTCCGACCATCATAGCATATTCAAACAATATTGGTACCAGCTGACCTCGAGCCCCCTCTAGTTTGAAAGCATCGATATTGGAGCGCATGCATACTTCTCAAAAGCCACCTCGTGTGTAGCATAACGTCATGTTACAGAAACTTCCTCCGCGACTCCATTTATGCAGCCATCGGGCAACCCGCCCAAGCCATCTCCGGCTGGCTGAGTCCGCAATTGACGTGGTAAGCACATGACTTGACCCCCCGTTTGTAAGGATCTCAATCAGTTCTCCCGACTTGAGGATGGGGTTGGAGGCGAGAATCTCAGCGGCCTGGACCTGGACACCCGATATTAGTTGAGGGATTTCTTGACTCAGCTCGGAGAAAGAAGTTGTTTAGAGGCGTTCGCCGATTTGTTTCCTGGTTCGGCTAGGCGGCTTTCCCCCTGGTTTATTTTGGTAAAGGATACGGGGTATATGTCTATGTATGTAGATCGTTGGCTTCCGCGCCCATAAGCGAGAAATTGTCAGAGGTCTCACACGTAAGTAAGCTAATCGGACGACCTAAACGACACACCTGAATTCTTAAACAAAATCCGAATCTGTCACCCTCGTATTGATGCACTGGACCTTCTGTTTGTTCTCGAACAGAGGATGGCAACTAAGTGGCAGCATGGAGTACAGCCCTTGTTCAACACCCCCGAGAAACCGATCAATATCACATATTCAAAAAAGACTTGGGGTTTGTTTTGAACTGAAAGGATCGGGGCTATTTGTTACGAAGCTCACAGAGTGACTAACCTAGGATCTGTAAGAGAGGCCATTCATCCTTGTAACCCATAGAACGTTGCAAAAATTGCATAGTTCCCGCTTCCCCCAGTAGTCTTCTACCTGTTTAGGGTTAGGTACGCTGCATCCTTCATGGCCAATCTCATAAATGTCACCGTCATGGCCCGAAGAGCTATCTACCCAAAGTTCATTCTGGTCAAAGGACACTTGGAAGCTTCTGGATCTGTGGAATCTGCTCATGTAGAGCACCATCCCTTCTAGGCACTGCTTGATATTATTAAGCCTCGCACTTCCTTCCGAGACCGCAATAAGTTCTGGCACCTCCCCTTACTTAAACTTTATACCGTCTGATGCTTTAAGTAAGCCTGCAGGTTTCCCGTCTTCATCCCGAATAGCCACAACAGGCATAAACTCATCCATCAGCGTGTCTATCCACACCAGATGTCCAAGAGCTTGAAGCCAGTCGGTATGGGGTTAATAAGAGAGGGTCCTTAATACGCATAGAACGTCAGCGACGTACAAATATATTCGCTCTATGCGACACACTAGCTGCCGGATTATATCAGACTTAGAACATTCGGTTACTAAGACCTTCCTTCAACTGCCTGTCAATTGCATATAGGAACATTTCAGACCACATATTGTTACATAGTCCCACTCAAGGTTTTAGACTGTTGCATAAAATCTTGGATGTCTGAGGGGCCTGGTAGGAGGCTCCTAAGGTCCTCATAATGCTGCCACCCATGCCAAGACCACGAGGGAAGAGGCGAGTCTATTCATGTTCATAGTTCCACTCTCCTATAACGCCTCCTCAGCAGCTGCCATAAAACCGCATCGTCGAAAATTTTTCTTAGTGATCCATAGATTACGCCCTTTAAAAGGCTTCGTTTCAAGCGGTTCAACAGGCCTAACATGCTAAGAGGCCGTCTCCAGGATAAGCAAGATCTCGCCTGTTATAAGAACAGACCAGATCGTCACATAGACTGGAGCGCTCATTTGACATATCGTAACTCTCAAAGTGACCTGTAAGCTAGGCTACGAGATAGCTTAAGTCTACAACAAGCAGCAGGGCAACTAGAGTATCAACCCTCCCAGGTTAAACTCAATATCCTTACACGCTATGCTAAGACACTTGACTCCACACTAAAGGTTCATAAAAGTAATACTGTAATAGTACGCAGCAGACCAAATTGCCTATTAAGTCGAATTACATAACGCAAGGAGATACACTACGCATACAATAGGGCATAGAAGCTCGTTAAGCAAAAAGATCGATAAAGTCAGAGAACATCAGGCACATTCTTGTGTACTGGATGCATGTTCGGAACCTTTCCGCTGAGAATTAATATAGATCGATCTCCGCGCAATGGCCGTTCGCTTCTGAGTTCTAAGCTTCACAACTGTAACTTCAAGTAAAGAAAAGTCTCAATCTAGAACATATCCTGTGGAAGATAACCCTTATTCCGCTTATCTAGCCCACCGCCCATCCGCCAAGCTAAGATCGTCACGTAATCGTAAAACATAAAGACGCCGAGACTCAATCCCGATCGCCACTATTAAGTCCCTAAATGCAACTGCACTCAACCAAAACTCCTTTACATAACATTTTAGACGAAGCTCATGCAGCAGGTACAGCATTCTCTAATTATCTTCAGTGACCGACGCGCGGTCCTCGCCCAGCCCATAGCAATGATATTCAAGTTGAATTCGATCGTCGACCAGAGTATTTACTCCACCGTCTACAACAAGACATGAAGTATCCGCATCAAAGCAACACTTTATCGATATGTAGGGGAGTTCCATGCAGAATGGCTGCAAGGCGATAGGAAGACTTAGGTTCCATTCGATCGAAACATTGTAATCAGTAATAGCGGCAACGAGCTTGCTATCACGGAATAATACTACAGCTTCACATGCGGAATACGCTTAATAGGTCTAAGTAAATTAATATCGAGGCCCGGCGTCGCATATATGCCAGATGTAAACAAAGCTGTTAGTGGCTATAGCCAAAGACTCGTCGTCTAGAGAGAATGCGATGAGCATGAAAGCCCCAGTTCTAACAGTTACCTAGCTGTTCCGCCTCAGAGACTTTTCGGTTGGAACAACAGACCTAAGTGTCGCCGCTGAACAGATGTGTTATTTGCAGTTGAGACTTGTGGCTGAGAGCTTAAATCAGCAGCGAGAACTTAGTCGCTGCTGAACTTGTCCTTGTGTATCAAGTCCGCTTTGCCTTTACCTCTGATATCTGCAAACTGAAAGTTTGCCTGGTCTAGATCTTTAGTGTATTTAATTTGTCCTGAAGGTTTAGCGACACCATCTTAATCTCGATGCCTAGGACGAACTGACCTCCTTGCCGATATTCTCTTTAGCGAGTTTAATGCACATTAAATTGTAGCATAACTACCAGTACTTGCCATTCGGCTCAAGGCCGTGATAATATTTTTGGATCTACCCAACCTTAATAGTTCGGCTCGGATTTGCTCGGACCGGATCGGGACCTCCACCCCCGGATTCCCCCCCGGGCTTTTACTTAAGTCATATTAGCAATTTACGAGATGGATAAATAACAGCTATCTCACTCCTGTTTCACATAGCATTGGATCAACATACAGTCTTGCTCGAAATCTCAAAATATGTTTACAAACCTACAGATACTGGGCGCACTACTCGTGCTTACCAACAAAGCAGTAGCAACAGGCACTCAGCGCGTTGTCGAAATTGCTGGCATCAACACTAGCAACGTAACAATCTGGGACTGTCCCTCAACTACAAGTCCTGATCTCAGCCAGTCAATGATCCAAACCGCTATGAACGATTTCGCATATACATTCTACACCGAAAAAGACGTCAAGCGTGCATTTGAGCGCTATGTAGCAAGCAACTACGTACAGCATAACCCCAGCATTCCGGACGGTAGAGATACAGCTGTCAAGATCCTTTCACCTTTATTTAATTCTAAAGATAATACTTTTGAGGTTTGTGTCTGATCTCGAGCGAATATATATGCAGGTGAAGCTGACATGATTAGATTGCCCGGGTTATGGTAGGGCCGGAGTATACCACGATTCATATCAAGGCTGGAGGCGCCAATGAGTCTTTGACAAATGTCTTTGATGTTTATCGGACTAAGGGGTCGTGCATAGTTGAACACTGGGATTGTCTGCAGGCCATGGAAAAAAACACCACATCCTATCATCCATACTTCTAGTCTTCCAAAAGGGTCTTTCAATGCGTTCTGGCAAACCTCGCTCTAGTCTGCAAGATCGAGAGTAACGAAAGGGAGTTATACAATGAGTCCTATACAGTTTGCCAGAAATTCCAAACGACCCTCCTCAAAATCTCAGGCTCATGATGAAGCCAAACATGCACTGTGACAGTTCTTGCTTACATGCGCTGCACCAGATAGAGAGGAGGCTGCTTTGCCACAGGCGCTGACAGATTCGGCCCTGCAATGGTCTGGCGCCATCACAGCTGCCTGATGCCTTGTGTGGCTACTAACAATCGTCCAATGTCATGAGATGAACAGTTTACTTCTTATCTTCGTAAAGTCGTGAATTATCTATGCTGTCTTCATTATCAAGGGTATCAAATTAACTCCAAGCATAAGATCGTACATTCTGTCGTTCTCAAAACCAAATCTACCAACGCTGTTGTTAGAATCCTCGTGATCCACCCCTTGAGCGGCTCTTCCATCCACTGAGTGATCGCCTTGAAAGCAGCTTGAAGCTGATACATGCCCATCAACGAATTGCTATTCCCAATCATCGCCTGCCCACCGTCGACAATTTTCTAGAAATAATTAGCTATCACTAATCACGTCACTACAGCTGACTCTACACTCACAAGTTCGTTTTCCCCGTCCACAGAAAACATGACAGTCCATGTCCCTTTGAGCACTTGGATGAGAGGAACCGTAATAATGCGCTCATGATTTCCCCCGCAGACCATGATACTGTACAGACTCTCATGCCACGCTGCTATCCAGACTCCAAGCTGCGCGTCTGACGTCTCGATCTTTGCAGATGTCATTTTGGTCTTGATGAAGACCGGCACAGCGCGAATCTTCAGCGGAGAGTAAGTCGTTTGATTGACTGTCCTGTCAGTTGATAGTTTTGTGTACTGTTCGATAATGCTCGCAAGCTCCTGATCTGGTTTGAGGACGAGAGCAAAGTCAATCATCTCATGTACTGACTTTACAGTGTGACTCCGCGATGCAGATGTGTTGCTGCTCGCAGATGACACGCTGGCATTATCATCAATGGTGACTACACAAGGCCGAAATTTGGAGGCAATGCGCGCCGATCTTATGTCCTCAGCGATGACGGAAGTCGTTTCAGCAAGCATGTGTACTTGGTAGTGAACATGCGAGTTCCAAGCTGCCTTGGAGCGACCTCGATCAGCCGATTGCTTGGTGCGACAGACAATTTCCTGAAAGCAAGCGTGTTTCTCAACAAGAGCATTGATGGCATCGTTATCTACACCTGGGCAAGGAGACTGCCACATGCTCCGGTGAACACCGGGAATCTCAATCCCTTCCCTATCCTTGAGAGCATGCGGAAGGAAGAGCGGCTTTTAAATCAGGATTAAACCTCAATCGAATCGGAAGATTTAAGCGAAGCAGGTCGCTTCGTTTCTTGTATTGCTTGGACGGCGAGGGGCTTCGTTGAGACTTTGACGCTTTTTACTTGGGCAATGGCGGACGGGCCGCAAGAGTGCAAGGAAATGAGTTGAAAGTAGAGCCAGTGATATCAAATGACGGTAGCGGATGGCCGAAGATGGAGTTCACTGGAAGAGTAGATGATGATTGTGGTGTTGTGTCGGGATCGAGAGGTGCTTCTGCTTCGGGCTGTTCCCTGCGCTTCCGTTTTGAAGGACACTACATTGAATTGTCGCTGAGCCTTCTTTTCTTAGTTGTATTTGCTGAGGAAATTTGCTCGTGGGAGTCGGTGAACGGGCTCGAAGGATCAAGAATCGATCCATGCGCGAATGGCGTCGATGCGCATGTCGGAATACGTTGCGCTGCGTTGAAATATTGCGATGCAATGCTAACTTATGGGTGGAGATCCAAGATGATGAAGAAATCTGGTATTGTTTTTGGTTGACCTGACGACGCTTTATATGCGGGGAATTTGTTAGTTCATTCCGCTGTTGGCTGGAGCTAGTTCCGAAGAAGCCCTGCACACACCGCGCTGATAAGATAAGACAAGGTAAGGGCGAGACCCGCCACCTTGTATCATTTTATCCTAAGCCAAGCAACGTCACCTTCACCATCACTATCGATCACAACCTTGTAGGAGGACACCAAGTACAACTGGGGCGCATAGGCTCTCGCTTTGATATTTATGTTAAGTATGGATACACCTGCTCGTATAGAGGTTATAGGAGTCAAAGACACAGGCGTGTATTAAAATGATGCTATTGTTTAGGCAACTGCAAGAAAGGTACGGTGATAGGGTGCTGGAACTATGTCCGACTCGTTCCAGGAATAGATTACAAGAACATGACGCCAGGTAATCCCAGCATGCGCGAACCCATCAATCAGACATGGCGGTGACGAAACTTTGCGGACTTCTTCCCCTTTGCAGCCTCTGGGTTATGAGTGAATGCAGCAGCGCCTCCAAAGGGGCCGGCAGTAGCGCTATTTCGGACCCTTGCAATACAAATACCAGAAACGCCAGCTACCTTTCCAGTGCAAATTTGACCAGTAGGCACCTTGACAACAACGGGAAAGTCGGTCGAGCTCACGGTTGAAAAGCCTAACACCCCAATGATGTTCTGAACCACTTCAGCTGATTTGAAAGCTTTCGGGTCAGTCCCTCCTGAAGTGAAGTCAATATCTACTAGCAAGGGGCCAGCGCCGTCCTCATTGACCTGTATGGCGAAGAGTCAATATGAATCACAAATGAGAACCCTAGCCACGAACCTGATGGTAGATCAGCTTGAGAGTCCCATCGGATGCTGCAGTTGGCAGCCCGGATTTGGCACCAACTCCAGTGGAATTCTGAACGCCGTCTTCGATGTATCCACGAGGAGATGGGACACCCTTTGCCGTTTGGAAAAAGTCATCCAGAAGCCCATTAACTCCATGCTCAGCTCCTACTGTCGATCAGCATAAAATTCCAGTTTTCGACTGCTTCTACCAATATACCTAGGGCCAGACCGCCAACCGGAGAGCTTTCAATTCCGTCTTGCACGCCTGAAATAGGTTAGTAACTGGAAATTCGAGTCATTAGCAAAACCCTACCATTTACAACTGCACCAGCATTGCCAGTCACAAAAGACACGGCTTCTCTCGTAGCTATAGAGTGTTAGCTGTCAAGAAATATTTCTTGCTTGCCATTTTACTATACCTTCTTCGCCTCCCCCAAGGATAGTGTCAGCAAGGGACCGGCCCTTGAGACCTTTCATAAACGCCTTAATGACACGGGCGCCGTCAACTGGGCCTTTGCTAGTTCGACCAAGTGCAGAGGCCTTGCTAGTACCAAGTTCGGGGTCACGGATCACGCTGGTATCAACCTGTGCCCCGGAAGCAGCAGAGATAGAAGATCGAGGTGTTCCATCAAGGACTGCCACCTGTTAGCACCAGACTCAAGTTTCCAGAGATGTTCCTACTTGTAAGTCCCGGCATGACAACACCATTTGCACCAATTACTCTGGTAATAGTTCCATGGGCATTTGCCATTTGGCTCCAGGCCAGGGCAGAAAGAAATAAAGCGGTAAACATGTTGAAAAAGGTAACGAGCGATGAACAAACGAGATGACTATGAGATTATTTGTGATTGATTGTTGGACATCAAGCACGTATATATATTCTTCGCGAGTCAAATAGACTGAAAAATGTCACATGCTCGAAGATACTGCCATTCCAAGATGCCTTTGACGTTGAGCTATAGTTAGATGCATGTCCTGAGAAACCATATTCTGAAACGTGGTGCTTGGGCATGTTTTTCTATGGCTATACCCATTCAGGAAGGCTCATTCCCTTGAGAGTCAGGACTGTCAGTTCAGCTGTCATGATCAACGGCCAGGATGTTTCAAACACATATTTATGTCAGTATTCAGGACAACTAGAGTGGAGTATGTTTCCAGAAAGAGAAGGTAAAAAGATTTTTACTGTAAGATTAGTTGTTGCATGCCCGTGCACCAGAGTTCAGGTGAAGCGGTAATGCACCCGAGCGTCAACAGCACGGCCCTAGCTTCTCGGAAACAATCGCGGATGTACTGTCATAGCGCTGTCACATGCAACTTGGTGTGCCAACGACAACTAATTCTCCAATACAATCTCTTGAACTCAGCCTTTCAGACTTTTCTGATCTAAAACAACAAATCTGTGGTGGCCTGGTTGTTTTGGCTTCACCGCACAGCCTCAGATGACGTATCAGTTCGTCTGCTAATAATGCCTCGATCACTGAAGTAAGACGTCTTATCGGATTCAACAAAACAATGCAACATGATGGTGATATTGATATTTGCGGAGGATTGCTGATTTTGGAAGTAACCCCGTGCGGGGATTGTCTTGGCCTGTGAGAGGTTTAAGGTGCTGGTGAGCATTGCTGGCAACTTGGGATAGACATAGATCACTGGTCAACATGGTAGTTACTTCAATTTCACTTTTGGTGCTCGGTATTGTTGTCGGTGTAACACTATTTTACTTTTCGTCACCAACTAGGAAAGACAGGAAGAGACCCCTCAAACTGCCCATCATCGGCGACATCCACAGCTCACCGATCGAGAAGCCACTCTTGCGATGGGACGCTTGGGTGAAAAAAAATGGCGCTATCGCAACGACGAAACTGTTCGGGATAGTGCCCGTTGTTGTTATCAACACAGCCGAGGCAGCGACAGAGCTGCTGGGCAAGAGGGGCGCTTGGTACAGCAATCGTCCAAGGTCCGTGGGCATGGAGATGATCACAGGCGCTGGGTCAGGACAGTCACGATTCACGTTGATGCATGACATGGATGCGCATTTAAAGCTTCATCATCGCATCTTGTCTCCGTCGCTCGGTAGCATCGCTGCTCCGCGCTATCAGCCCGTCATGGAACTCGAAGCCAAACAGGTCGTCAAGAACCTCGTCGAACTGAGCGACCACAAGTCGGTAGTCGTTACCAGCGACGATTTGTTCCCTTTCCTCGAACGAGCGCAAGCGAGTATTATTCTCGCATTGCACTATGGCGTTCGGGTTCCCACCCTCGATTATCCACTTTATCAACGGGTCCGTGAGACGCAGGCTAAGGTCACCTCGTATGCGTCGAAGCCTGGTCTGCCCGATATCTTCCCGTTCCTTGCCAAGCTCCCAGCGGCAATTTCACCGTGGCGTAAAGCAGCAGATAACTTATTCAAGGAGCAGAAAGACCTCAACCTGAACTTGTTGAACCTCGGTGATGACAGTCCCGGATGGAACGCAACGAAACAAGCACGCTCCCTTGCAGCGAAATACGCCAAGGAGCCGATTTCCGATATTGACCTAGCTTTCACACTTGCGACAAGTGTCCAAGGTGGTATAGAGACTAGCACTCGTACAATACTCTGGCTGTTCATCGCTGCGACGGCTGTCAACAAGAAGTTTATGAAGCGAGCGCATGACGTGCTGGATGCCGTTGTTGGACGGGATCGACTTCCTTGCTTCTCGGACAGATCCTCCCTCTGTTACATTGACGCCATCATATCTGAGCTTCTGCGTTGGCGGCCTATTTCCCCGGGAGGTGTTCCTCGTCGGGCAGACAAACAAGACTCTTTTAAGGGTATCAGTATCGTCAAGAATGCAATTGTCTTGACAAATGCGTGGTCTATCGGTCGTGATAAGGCTGTGTTTGACCAGTCACTAGGCGATCTCGATGAATTTATTCCCGAAAGATGGCTAGATGGTGAATGCATGCGTGCAGACACTAAGAACCAAGGAGAACTGAGGACCTCCCTCCCGTTGCCAGTATTTGGTCACGGTCGACGCAGCTGTCTTGGAAAGCGTGTTGCTGTAGACGGCACCTTTGCCCAGGTAGCGGCGATGATCTGGGCATTTGACTTTGAGCCTGTTGACAACGTAGATGCAATGGAGATGGAGGTCGTCTGGTTTATGACAGAGCCCAAGCCCTTCAAGTTCAAGCTAAAGCCTAGGGGTTCATGGGTGTCAAAAGTAATTGAGGACGAGTGGAGGACTGCCGATAAGAACCTTGGTAACATCATGGGCAAAATGAGTGATATTGAGAGCTGACTGTGACATCAAGAGATCTAATAGAGTTGAAAGTAAGATCTTGGAGTGATTGCGTTGTTGCAGAGGGTCCAAAGGCTGATCCGTTCACCGTGCTCATATAATATTTATTTTAACTCATTACACCAGACTCAGTTC